GAAATATTGAAAGGTAGATTGAATTTCCTTGACCGATATGGAGTCTTCCCGAAACGACAGACGTCAACTCTCATGTAGCTGTTTGCCATGAAAGCCACTGGTAATAATGACAGCGTAGGTGCATAATGAGCGATTTCATCACGTCGCCAACACATACAAAGCGTTGGCTTGGATTGCTAATAATGCACTGATAATGGAGGCAGTGCGATGGGCCTTCGCAAATTATGAAGGCCCGGTTCGGGGAACACGAATGTACGCACCCATTCTTAGGACTTTTCCCAGAAGTAGGGAAAAAAGGTACTAATAACCCTACGTAGTATTAATACTACTGTAGTACTATTACTTTAACATTAAATAGTAACGTTATGGTTATTTATTTCACAGCTGTCAGTCAATAAAATGATATGCTCGAAGTATTGGAGATTCGGTATGAATTTCCGGACCCCGTTCAATCGAATCTCACCAAGCGAATCGAGCACCAATCTCTCCCATTGGTCAATCCGAAATTGCTTGTCGCTGATTGGCTACAATCCATTTTCGAGTTTCTACTGGAAAGGGCGAAGTGGATATTGGCCAATCAAGTGTCTCGGCTCTATTTGTGGTCGATTGAACGAACCATGCAAAATTGGGAAATTTGACGAAAATGGACAATATTAATATATACCAGTACTACGTAGCTTTGTGACATGCAAGGATGAGAAATTATGGTTTATTCTTACTTGACACATGACTAACAGTACACTTCCTACAGAATAAATAGTTCTTTCAGGAGTTATTTATTGACAGAGAATAACTCAACAATAACCTCTGATAAACCTTATGGATGAATACTCAGTCTATGCGGATAGGAAAAAGTTTGACGCAGCCCGGGACTAGGACCCGGGGCGTCGCCCTAACCGTTATTACTACGCCACTGCGTCAAACGCCTACCGTACCTTTCGATTCAATGTTGGAGTGGTACTCGGCTGTGACCACTCTGTTTCTAGTCTATTCAAAATTAATATTTCTATGTGATGTTGGAGGAATATAATTTTATGGGAGTTCTTCGTGGCAATCAAACTCAAATTGAAATCATACAAGTACATTTCTAGGGCTTGCGATGGGACGGTCATGGCATAA